ATACACATGCATTTGTTAGACCCAATTACTCTAAAAGAAAACTATAGAAAAAGACAACAAATTATTATGAAACAATTACAAATAAAATTATCACTTTTTGCCCAAAACCAGAAAATATTATAGAATTTAACATACCTCTTTTTCATCAGCAGGTACTCTGTATCTCTCGTTGACTGGAGCAGTTACAGTGTGTAATTTTGGAGCAGTAAAAGCAGTTGTGTACAATAAAGCTGCAGCAATACCTCCGAGGATGGGGCCAACCCAGTAGACTGGAATTTTGAGGAAAAATATCAGGTAAGAGTAGCAATAGTTAATAATAGTTTTGGGCACATGTTTCTGTTATTGCATTGTTGATAGCAGTGGTCAAAACAAATATTTGTGTAATGTCAAGGTGCTAGTTTTAGCATGTTTCATTTGTGGTCAGCACTAATAATAAAAATGATTATTAAATCAATCATAGCATGATACAAGATTTGCTGTGTAATGAGAATTGTTGATCCCAAAGATTAGATTACGTAATTACCAACTCCCTTTAAAATTCATATGCAAAATATTTTTCATTGATTTTCTTCCTCGCATTTCTGGCATAGCAACTAGGAAACGAATTCCAAACATATCTGGTAAGTTCGAAAAAATTACTAGGCACGAAATTCTGCCCCATCGAAAAAAAATTAAAAGAACTAAAATGATTGGCATTATTCAGAATTCACTCAAGTCCTCCAACTGAGAGAACTGAATCATGTTTTATTTCTCCTCAACCCAAATCTTTATAGAATACAAATGATTTTCCGTATATAGTAACATTTTCTACTAACCCAATGATCTTGCCAATGTCCAGCCAAAGCGGCAGATCCAAAAGCACGTGCTGGATTCATACCAGATCCAGTATAATCAACAGCTGCCAAATGGCCCAATGTTACAGTGAGACCCACGCTCAGGGGTGCCAAATAACGGACGGGCTGGTCTCGGTTTTCGTCACATGCTCCAAACACCTGGTAAAATAAATTGAACCAAATTAGTTAGCCATACAAAACTATTTACACAATTAAAATACCATTGAAATGGTGATTTTAATCATCATCATAACAAATCTAAAGATTGTGTTTGAACAGCAATCAAAACTAGGAGTTCTATATTTTGTTGTGATGATACTTTTCCTGAATTACGTGACTCTCTATCATATCAAAGCAAAGCATTTACTAGTCTACGTTTATGATATAAAAATATCAATAATTTATGGTGAATGCGCAAAACCTCTGGATTGATTGGATATGCTCTACCAAAACTAAAACTTGTTTGACAATTTGATTTAGTTATTTTGCACTTGACATTGTGTTGGAAATAAGTTTGCTCATTTTCTAGAGTCAATGCTAGATGGTATCTATCTATCGTTATTTTCTGAAACTTAAACATATTTCACCTATAATATCGTTCCTAATTTACTAGAAACATAAAAACCAATCGCTTTTTTAATCATTAAAATAATTGTCATTTTTCTTCATATTCTTTATATATAAATGCTTCAGAGTTTTTCTATTATTTAACAAAAAATGCGGTTAAGTTTGTGATATTCCGTTTCTACTTACGGCAAGTACTAAAACGAATCCCAAGAAGAATTCTACTCCCAAAGCTTGTGCAGGACTAACTGGACCTCCTGGTGAGGTCACTCCAAGCATTCCTTGGACAGATTCAGGTGTTAACGACTGTAAATAATAAATAACCTCTGAATAAACAAAATATTTTTTCTGCAAACCATTAAAAAAATTCTACAAAATAAATAGGTTTAGCTTAACAAAAAATCCAAGAAGTAATTAGAAAGAACTAATAATAATAATTTAAAAATGAATTTTGGGAAATGTGTTATTGGAAGCAGCTAGTGCTATTGATAAATTAATTATTAACTGCACGTTCAAATTATTCTGAAAATCTAGAAATCTATAGTATCATCTACAAATGAAGACAAAAGTTTATTATTTTTTTAAAATAAATTAGTACAGGCAGAATATATTGAATTGAAATCTTGAAATTGATATTAACGCTCATATTTTCTTATCACACTATCCTCTTGATTTACAATCAGTTTTATATATCCAAAACATTGTTTTACTCATATTTGTATTATAATAATTCATACTTTTCTTTAAATTTGAGTGGATGAAAGATAATAGTGTGAAAAGAATTAATTTATTTAAATTATATTTCAATACATTTATTTAAACTACTACCCAATGTTTAGACTCACAAGAACCGATTTTTTTTTAAATAATGCTTTATTTCAAAAGAATTCATTTTATTACTTCGAATTTATGAAATTCATATATGATTTTAATACTCAAATTATTGTTCATATTTAGTAATATTAATATGTCATTACTTTGTAATATTATTTGAAATTGTATAATGAAATTTACCTTCAAAGCTGCTGATCCAGCCAATGCTCCCAAACATTGTGCGACCATATATAGCAAACCTTTGAGAAACAATAGATCATATTATTATTTGCAGACATGTATATATATATATATATATACATATGCGTTATATACGTAAATATTGCACTATTAAATGTTTGCCGAATGAAAACTTTTAACAATTGATTAAGGTATCCATCCCATAGAATATGGATTTTTAATAAAATAAGACATTTTTTAAAACCTTTTATTCAGAAATCTTTAAACAACAAAATTTCAAAGATGATATTGAAGTGCAATTCAGTTGGAAATAAAATCCAACTTTGTTCAATATGAACAAAAGGAGAGTTATTCGTATAATTAATAATCAGCTACTTATACAGTACAAACTCGATTAACCGGACTAATTATCGATATTTCGGCATTCGGATAATCGAAAATCCGGACATTCAAATGTATGAAGAATAATGTTACGTGTTTATTAAAAACAACAAATACATAGATGTCAGCAAAAATCAATATTTGTCAAAAAATTAATACTTACTTATGTATGCCCATACATATTTTCTTAGATAACATTACATACATAATACTAAATTGAAGCATTAATGAAATAGAATATTTAGGTACTTATGTGCGAAAAAATTGTTTACATATATATTTGATAATTTGCGTTTTATAATCATGTAATAAGAAGATATTAAGTTGAATTTGGTTTAAAATATTTAGTAATTGTCATTTGGTCATATAGATTGGTCGTGGTTGGCAGTCCAGATAATCGCGAACTGAAGGCCGGATAAACGATTTTCTACTGTAGTTAAATTTCTTCAAAACTTCTTGATTATATCATTTAATTATTGATCAATAAATGTGAATTCAAACACCATACATTTCATGGTTTTAAATAAACATAAGGCGTGTTTCATACATAAGGCGATCCTTTCAAGATTCGATTATCGATTTTCTTTATGTTGAGTCCGATTATAGGTTTACAGTTTTTACAGAAAATTTATAACTTTGATATATATATATATATATATATATATATATTTGTGTGCAAATTAATTAATATAAATCACCTTTGAGAATGGAAATTCTGCCGGTGACAAGCATCCCCGATGTGACCGCAGGGTTAATGTGCCCTCCGCTGACATGTCCTATTGTCTGAAAATAATAATGACATCGTGCTCATTAATTCATTATCGGTATAATTCAAATCGTAATACAAGAATATACAACATTAAATATATGGTAGAGCGGGTTTAAAGGTCCGTGGGTAGAAAGGTCCACCATGGATATCTAGAAAATCATTAATGTTGAGAATTTTTTAACAAGAATATGTGAAAGTAGAAGTTTATAACTTGTTTCTTTTTTGGTCGTGAGGACTGTTATTTAGTTTACAAGACCTTAATATAATTTTTAAGTATACGTTATTAAACTATTTTTAAACAGTATCACAATTCCAAAGTTTTTTGTTGGCTTATGATTTAATTTTTTTTCGGTCGATTTTGATAAATTCTCGTTCGAAAAAAATGTACCAGACTGTGTTGGCAAGTTTCAACAAAAATTGGCGCATTTAATCAAGGTTGTAAAATGATAAAATGCATGGTAATTTCATTATTGAAGAGAAAAAACAAGTAAAGAAATAAAAACCGAAAAATTTTCCCATTCAATTGCTAATCCACTCAGTCGTTTTTGTTTCGAATAAGCTCTTGGTAGATTCTTAATTTTACTATAAAATGGTTCTGTAATTGTTTTAATTAATGTACACCAACACGCACTTGTATGTCCTACATGAGCAGCCCATTATTCCAAAATTCAACGAATTCTTGTAATTGAAGCACCTTTCGTAGCCTTCTAATAATTTAGAATGATTGTGTAGATCATAAAATCTATCATTTTACAAAATTTCATCAAAATAATCAAAGAGATTTCAACAATTATTTAAGAAAAAACGGCCAGCACACCTTGCTACAAAACTAAACTTGCCGTCAAATAAATAATAATACTTTAATACAGTTTAACTTCCCATAGGGTAATTTATAGTAATGAGCAAAAATCTAAAATGAAATTTCTTGCATAGCTTCGCGTTTCAGAGATTTCTGAACGTTTTGGCATACCTCAAAAAATAAATATGTGTGTGTGTGTGTGGAGACAATTTTTCGTCGATAATTTCCGGCGTACGAATCAACCGATTAGAATGTTTCAAAAAAAAGTCGATTCCTATTGATGAAGAGACGTGCTGGTTAGTTGTTAGGCAAAGACAGGTCCGAAGTGCTAAAAATGTCAATTTTTGAGAGAACTGATCAACCGATTTGAATGATCCAACAAACATTCGATTCGTAGTGATGGGGAGAAGTGTTGATTTGATTTTAGCCTTTCTGCTTGTGTTGAAAAAACAATCTTCTTTTTTTAATTTCCAAAAAAAATGAAATTTTTTGAATATCGAAAAATGCTTTGGATTTTAATTTACATTCTAGCTAAAGTTCTAAAACATCACTTATATATTTCAAATAAATCATTTTAATTTGCAATTCGGTTTATTTAATACTTAAAAATATTAGACAATGTTCTTCATTTCAAGTCCGATTGATTAAGTTTTGTTTATTTATTTTATATAAAATAAGAAAATTACATCATTTATAATAATCTATTTGAAAAAATTTAATATTCCTCAAATATTTCATTAAGGTGCGGGAAGTTCCAGCAATTTGCCTTAAGGCACAATGCCATACATCACTAGTTAATTTTTCAATCGGTTCAGGATTGAAATTTGAATTTATAATAGAATCTATACTTTTTGTGTACAATTCTAGTCTTTATTCTAGAAATTTTGCGTATCCTAATATTAAAAATTAAAAACAAAAAAAGACAATAAACCTTGGTCCGACAAATAGGGTGTGACTGACACTACACTAATAAATAAGAATTAAGATCATTAAAACTGTTATATAGCAGTTTAATAATAATAAAAATATATCAATCATATCAATTCCCACTTTTCAGAAGTTGTTAAACTTACGTTACTTTACGTTATAATTATGTGGTTCAATTTCTTAAAATAATTCATCAATCCGAGCCAATTTACATAATTTCTAAAGAAAACGCAAGCGGTCGTCCTTGCCAATATGCGATTATTATTGAAATATGACTCGACTGAGTCAAATTATATATGTAATTTATTTTGCCATAATACAAATGCATTTTAAGCATGATGTTTACTTAAAACAAGGAAATGGTTAATTGAAATAACGCTAGTATTTCATTCTTCAATTAAAATGATAGAATGGACAGGGACGTATTTAATTAATCTATAGAGGCATGTTTTATATATCAGGTTGTCAAATATCTCCCTTCCGCTTTTTTGCTCTTGGTTTATAATACAAAAAGGCGGAAGGGAGATATTTGACAACCTTATATATTAAATGAAAATAAAGATATCTTTTGAGTTTTCGCATTCTGTACTTCACATAATTACCTTTAATTATTTATTTTTGAAAAATCTACATAGTTTTATCATTCCGTAAGATAGTAATCGCAAGAAAATCGAAAATGAAAATTTTTATATATTTACGTTTCAAAAGTTTTTGAACATTTTGGCATACCTTATAAAAAATGGATGTAAATATGTGTGTGTGTGTGCGGATACAAATTTTCGTAGACGATTTCGGGAACACCGATCATTCGAATTGAATAATTCAAGAAACATTCGATTGCTGATTAGTTTTTCGCGAAGGTAGGTCTAGCCATTCCGAAGATACAGGGCAAAAAGTGCCAAAATGGTAACTCAGTTTTTAAGAGAACGGAGCATCCGATTGTAATAATTCAGAAAACATTCTACTTGTATTGACAAGATGAAGAACTGATTAAATTTTTGGGAAGACAGATCCAGCGGTTATGGACTCTCAATGAAAATAAGTTAAAAGAATATCATTTGGCGGTCAAAATCAAATTATAAGATTTTTTATGGAGATTTTAATAGTGTGTACACATTTTGTGTAAATTTTTTTGGGTTCCGTACCAAGATTTTTAATTACGGTACGGAAAGTTCCAGCAATTTGCCTTAAGGCACGATGCCATACATCCCACTAGTTTCAACTTTTTCTTTCGAGTCACAAGGTATTTTATTATAAATATACGGTTTTTACATGCAATGAAAATTTTTATTTCGATGATTCATTCCATAATTTTCTATTCTATTAGAAAATTTTTTTTTTTTTTTTAATTTTTTTTTTCAAATATGTACTAATTATCATTTCAACATATGCTTTCATGCAAACTGTTTTCATTTTTCTAATAATTTTTATACTCTTTGGGAAGCTTTTATCACAATTTTAGGACATACTGTCACTTTGTCAGGAGCATGTGATTTTCAAAACTACCTATTTTTCAAAACTTCATTTAGTATTCATAATTAAACTACTTTTCAAAAACTTATAATAATTTATGTGTTCGCTTTTAACAATTAATTCTAAAACCATGCAAATTTTTATAAAATTCCAGGCAACTAAATCTGATTTTCTTGTATGTTTATAAATATGAAAAAAATTATTGAAAATTTAGCTTGCTTGAAATTCACCTTCGTGCTATGCTTTGTTTGGCAAAGTGTCTTGGAATGACCCATAGAAATAGAATGGCACAGTAGTTGAGGAATAATAATATAAAATCTATAATATAAAAGCCGCGCTATAAGAAATTCAGATCTAACTAACAAACCAGGCTACTGCGTTGCATGGAAACCGCGCTCTAAGAATCTCAAAACTAGTACAAATAACAGAATTTGTACAGCGTTATATGAAGACCGAAAAATTAATTTAGTTAATATAATGATTAAAAAAAAATATGTTTTTCTTTTATTAAATTGGAGAGTTTGAATTATTTCTAGCAAATGGAAAGGTTTATATAAGGATTTGATAAAAAATGGAAACAAACTAGCTGTAAGTGGAATTCTGTCTTGAGGCAATTATGGCATCGTGCCTTAAGGCAAATTGCGGGAACTTCCCGTACCGTAATAAAATGTTCGAGGAATACTGAATGTTTTCAAATAGATTATTATAAATATTGTAACATTCTCTAATATTTAGATTTATATAAACCGAATTGCAAAGTTCAAATCATTTATTTACAGTATATTAGAAATTTAATCAGAATTAACAATAAAATCTGAATTATTTTCACCAAGCTGAAAGTTTTTTGAATCATTTAAATTGGACGCTTAGTTCTCTCAAAAACTGCCATTTTTTGCACATTTAGCTCTGTATCTTCGAAATGGCTGCGCCTGCCATTGCCGAAAACTAACAATCACTTCTCTTAATCATTACTAATTGAATGTTTTTTAGATCATTTAAATCGGATGCTCCGTTCTCTCAAAAACTCGATTTCTATTTTCTGCACTCTTTGCTCCGTATCTCCGAAACGGCTGGACCTGCCTTTGCCAAAAACTAATCAGCTCTTTTCCCTATCGATTAGAATCGAATGTTTTTTGAATCATTCAAATCGGTTGATCCGTGCGCCCGGAAACGTGACTGGAAATTTGTATCCATACATACATACATACATACACACACACACACACACATACACACACACACACATACACATCCATTTTTCTGAGGTATGCCAAAATGCTCAGAAACCTTCAAAACGTCGAGAAATGCAAAAATTTTCAATTTCGATTTTCGGCCCATTACAATAACTTACCCTACGGGAAGTTAATACTAAACCAAAATCTGCTTTGTAATTAAAAACAGAATTTGTTAAGAAATACTAATGTTCTGTCAAATAGCTCTGACACTACTAAAACCGATGTCGTTCACAGTTATGATAGAAACATATTGTATAATATTAAATAGTCGCTAATAAGATATTCTAAAATCTTTTTTCAAATATAACGCCATAGCTATGTAATCATCTATAGGATTAGTTTACAAGTTAGAGGTTCAAGTGACACTACTTTTGAGTCAAAACCATGATTTCGAAGCAATTTCGTGGGTTGATTTATCATTGATTTTTGAGGGGTAAAAATCCATTGCTGCCAAAGTATCGCTTGATAAGTATTATCTGGACTGTTCCAGGTAAATGGTGAAGAAGTTGTTTGCTGATTTTAATCGTGGCCACACATACACTGAAGATACTGAACACTCTGGAAGGCCAATTGAAGTGGT